TTTTTTTTTTTTTTTTTTTTTTTTTTCTTTAGTGTTAGTGCATGCAGCAGAAGGGGTTTGGTTGTGTATGCATATGCGGGCGCCGCGCAGCACGAGCTGCAGCAGCTCCCCCGCCCCCAGTGGCTGTGGTAGAGGAGCTCATCTGCCTCTTTGAATATTTTTTATATTTATATTAAGTGTTTTGGCTGTCTATACACCTCGAACAAGGTTTCGTGCTAGAGCCGTTGCTGCTGCTGTTGCTTCTTGCTGCTGCAGCGGGAACTGCTGCTGCTGCTGCTGCTGCTGCTGTTGTTTTTTTTTGAGATACAAACTGATGCAGTATCTGCTGCAGAGGGTAGATGCTCTGCTGCTGTTCCTGCTGCTGCTTCTCTTCTTGCTTTTGAGTTTGCTGTTGCTGCGTTTCTTGCTGCTGGGTCTGTTGATGCTGCACCTGTTATAGTCAGGCCACCTGCTGCTCTGGTTGCTGCTGTCTGTTGCTGCTGCTGTAGTTGCTGTTGCAGCTGCTGCTGGTGCGCCTGCTGCTGCTGCTTTTGTTGCTGCTGCAGGACGCAGCAGCAAACTCAAAATATTTAAAATATTATATTTACGTTTCAGTCTCTCCTTTCGTATTGAGAGGTTTCTCATCCTTTTCTTAAGCTGTTTGTTTGCCCCCTTTAATGCTTGTACAATATATTGTGGTGCTGGAGCACTACAGTGAAATAATATTTATATTATATTTCTTAGTGAGGAGATGACGACAGGAGATACAGTATTCAAGCTAGAGTGTATTCGTTGCAGGTAAAAAAAAAAAAAAAAAAAAAAAAAAAAAAAAAAAAAAAAAAAAAAAAAAAAAAAAAAAAAAAAAAAAAAAAAAGTGAAAGCAACCCACGAAGACGATGCATTTTAAAAGAAAATAAATGTTTTTGTATTTTTAATAATTAAAAAAAAATATAATTTAATTTATTTATTTTTTATATAAACTATAAGCAGAGGTGCTGGCATCCTGGGGGAGAGAGAGAGCTGAACCAGGGATCACCGTGGCCTGTCTAGCGTATAGTATGAGAGCAACACCCACCAGAAACAGCAAGAGTTTATATATTTATATT